TTAAACGATGTCAATTTTCGTAAAAACTTTTCTTCTCTAACGCATAAAAGTTCGAAAGTCTCTGTATTTCCATCTTTCCGATTATTTAACCATCAAGCTACTATTAATTCTCTTGATGTTGTTTACGCGCACTTTCACGCTTCATTCCTCGTTAAGAGCGCGGAGCAGTTTGTTTTTTAAAAGGTACAATGTTCTCGTTTCGCAGCGAAGGTCGACCGTTTCATTTGCGAAATTAAAACGTCGGTCTTTAAACTTTGTTCACCGCGTTTAACCCAGTTGCTAAATCTTGCAAGCAATTTTCTGAGAATTGTCCTTACTCTAGCCTTTTTAGCTCGCGCTCGACGGGGCTGACCTTATCGTAAACTCTATTCCTGAATTTCATTTCGCGATCGTCCGTGCACCTTTAAACCCTTTCGACCGTAGCCTCGTTCGCGTTTTGTTTCCGCTCGAACATTCGCCACTTCCTTCTCACTTTGAAGCAGCAAAGGCTGTTTTACGCTTTGTTCTTGCCGCGAAACAATACGATATAATCATAGTCGAGCAACAACGAACAACGGTTGTTTTTAAATGTGCAAAGCACGCCACGTTTCAAACTCATTTTTAGAAATCGTGTTCCGGTTATCGGGATTACGAATTAAAATGTTAACCGACTATAATAAGGCACGAGTTAAACAGCCTTGGCGATTATATCGTAATTTCTATCCTTTTTCCTTCTCTCCTGTCGCCGGGAAACACGCTCGCGACTCTTTTCCCCGTTTATGAAAAAGCTCTCTTACGAGAAGCGAAAATGTTTGCTCTCGCGCGTCCCTTGCTTCATTGTTCCCTGATTCGTATTGTTTTCGCGAAGCGTAAACACTTACCGTTGTCTGTCATTCTGCGACGTTGTTTCGCGAAGTCGGTGTTATTCGTAATGTAATTTCTCGCGAGATTAGTCCTTTATGAGAATCGTGTTTATCTTCGTTCCTGTTTCTCGCGAAACGACGAAAGATTTCTATTTTTTTTTTTTCGGTGCGATACTGGCACTATCGGCTTCGTAGTAATACCATTTCTCTTCTATTTTTAATTTTTAAATTCTCTATTTTCTTCTTCTACCTGTCTTCTGCCTGTTTCCTGTTCCTTACTCCAGTTATTCCCCTCCTTTCTACTCTTTTAACTCCTTCTCCTCCCCCTCATCATCTCCTTTCCCCCTTCTTAACTAAAACTGATTTTGGGCATTTGCACATAATTGATATGCGCGCGCACCGATCCATTTGCCGGCCGGTCGAAACCTCGTGGTGGCCCAGAGCGCGGCCATTGTCCCAGTCTTGTTCCAACTGCCACAGTGACTAGTTGTTCAAGTGTGCTCGCAATTCTCTATAGTTCTCGTTCTTTGTTCTCAAGCTCTTTGGTCTTGTTTTACGTAATTTACTCACAATCTTTAATTAACGCTCAAGCTCAAAAGCCCCTTGCAATTAATATAAAGGCGTTATGTATTTGTTTGACACATAATAATAGTTTTTTCTCAACTCTCACACTCTACAGGAAATGGCGATCAATAATATCGTCATTTCCTTAAAAGATCTCATAATGGCCGCTCATTACTCATGATTCTATTGTATTCGAACGTCTTATTAATAATTGCGAATTAAAGACTTTGTTTAACATTTTGCACCATACTTTCCATCTAACCGACATTCTCAAAATTACAGTCCACAATTTCAAACATGACCCATTTGTAATTTCAAATAAAACCTGTAAAAAATTTACTCGACTGAATTATTGGAAATTTACCGTAATTTTCTATAAGAGAATGAATAAATACTTATTTCCATTGCATTATACATTTCTTGACGTACCTATCGTTTCAATTTTCTTGGTACAAATAAACACACTATAATTGTCGGTAGTTCTAGTGTTAATGTTTATCCAAATGCGTATCTTTCCAGGGAATAGATAAATTAATAGGACTCGAATGGAAATATATAATTTGGGGAATGTCCTGGGTATTTGTGTTTAAAATTCCATTCTCAATACGACAGAATAACGCAAGATATTAAAATTAGTGTCTTAAAACGGGTCAGAAGTATTACGAAACGAATTAATTCAAAGGAAAATTGGACCTCCGTCCTTTCTTAAACCACAGGAAGCTCGTTGAACGTGAAAATTCTTGATTGCATCGCGCACATTTTTGCAGAATATAATTAATTTAGACGGTAAAAAATTAGTCAACGTTTCTTCGATATTAGTACGAAGCATGTTCATTAATCGTTTTCAAATACCGACGGAAACGAAAGCAACATATGAACGTCATGGCATTATTGATTTTGTCGTACCAACTGACACGTTATTTCGTTCCTTTTAACTGGTTCTGCCGTGAAATTCAACAGAAAATCAAAAACAGAATTTGTAGAATAATGTGCGTCGATTCGATAATATTCTAACAAAGGAGATACCGTGGGATTAAGCGATTACGACTTAATCGTTTATTCAATATTTAGTCGACTAGAGTATAAAAACTATGTATTCAATATGCAATATTGTTACGTTATCACGACCGCGTTGCAAAATCATTTTATCGGGATTATTTAAATTTTCGATTAAATCGATAACTAATTTTTTTTTTTTTTTCTGGTTGTTTCTGTCAATATTACTAGAAGTATTTCGTATAGTTGCGTGTTCGTGGATTAATACTAATATTTATCTCCAATATTTCTTACGTCAGTGAAATCCGACCGTAGGTAAATTTCATTTCGTTGTAATATCTGTTGATCGCTGCCACTAAAATGAAACTTTGGGCAAACGAAAAAGGAAAAGACGACGAATTCGCTTCTCGGTGAGCTTTTCCCTTTTCTGAAGAGGTCATTACTTCAAGTAGCCTCAAGCGGTTCCGCGTTATACATCGCCTGGCACGATAGCGACGAGACTCATAAAATTATTTATTAACAAACGCTATAAATTGTCACTTTCAGCGACTTTAAATTCCAGTGGGCGGTAGAACCCTTTAATCGTTACTTATTCCTATTTCTTCCAAATAACTAACTCGAAGAATCATTTCAGGCTGAGAATAATTAACGAATAATAACACTTAGTTACTATTTCTGTAGACGATCGTCTCAATTATCCGAAAAAAGCACGTATTTAAAAGTTAGGAGCAAATAAGAATACTTTTATAGTTCTGTTATAAACGAAGATAAAAGGCAATCGCAATATGCACTTGCATTCGTTTTTTAAATTGAACTGTAACAGTAATCGAAAGCTCAACACTTCAGGAGATACGTAATTATATTTTTAATTATACAGGGTGTCCCAGCATCGGTGGTACAAGCGGGAATAGGGTGATTCTAGATGAAAAAACAAATCGAAAATAAAGAATAAAATTTTTTCATTTGAGGTTTCATTGTCAAGAAAATCAATTGTGAATTGATCTCGATACAAATAGCACCAATATCATTAGTATCAACATGATGTACTGTGTTACCTCTGTTTATGGATTCAAAGTAGATTTAAATGAAAATAAGGCATGTAATTTACTTATTAAACTAACTTAATACATACAAAAATTGTTAAAAATTGCTCATCGTGCTGCATATACAATTTTCTAAATTAGATTTGTATGAACTAATGGATTCTAATGTATTCTGTATCTTTAATTCTTCAAATGCCAAATGATTCTCGCTTGTAATTGAGGAGCGTATAAAATATTCTTCTTATACTCGTTTGTTTTAACATGACCCCATAGATACAAATCAAGGAGTGTTAAATATGATTAGATGAAATTGAAGATAATAGCATACTAAGACAACACATAAAATGATGATACGTGCTCAGGAAATCGTGTCAACGTGAGTGTACAGAAGTACAAAAAACATAATAAAAACCTGTATCGACATCTATTTATTTAAGCCATAGTTAAATGCGCGCGTGCTCGGTGAATATTCACAGTAGATTTTTTTGACAATGAAGTCTCAATGAATGATCCCCCGTACCTGCCGAGCCTCTGTCGACAAGCTTACTTGTTTCGCGATGGCCACGGAATCGCATCGACTTTTTTTGTATGACACCGGTGACAAAGGGATACAGGAGACAACTGGTTTCTTGTCACGCGAATTATCGGAACGCATCGCGGGGCACGTGAATTATGGCGCTATTGGGTTTCAGCGCGCCCGGGCAAACACAAAAGCGAAATCAAAATGCAATCGATGTTGGCGCAGCTGCCAGTTTCGCGAAAATTTTCGAACGTGATTGCAGCCACGCGATCGCATGCGACATCGAAGGAACAAGAATACATTGGCGCCATTAACTACAGTTGATCGATTGCAAGGTTGATTGCGAGTTAACGACGGCGACGGTATTCGACGAATCGCTGGAACAGACCGAGCACGAGATTTTCTGAACGCTCGTCGTCCATATTGACCGTTTTTCTCATAACCGATAGCACCCGTGGTTCGTGTTGCCTACTCGCGGGACCATATTTAAATTTTCCTCGCATTCGAACGACCGATAATTCAGCGGAAAATGTGGCACGAGATATACTTAATGCTTTGCACGGCTTGCAAGGATTTTGTATCTTTAAAGAAGCTCTCTGAAAATATTTTTCGGACACTCTGTTTATCGAACGGTTTGCCTCTCGAGACTTCCATTAATTAGAAAACTCAAAGAATAATATTTACTTGAGTCTTCGTAGTTATTTCTGGATTATTACTTAGGATGTTATCTCTGACGTTTTTAGTTTTATAAAGCTTCATCGATTACGAGAATTCAGCCTGAAAGCAATTTGCAGGACAAAGTTCTCGTAACAAAAGAAAATCCGTGTAGAGAGTTTGGTACGATGCTATAGAAACGCAAATAATTAAAGTCACGTTGAAAATTCATAAACAGATGCCCGTAGAGTAAGATGAGTTAAAGTTAGAGGCTGTCGAAAGCTAGGTTTTGGAAATAATTATTAATCTCGTTATAAATAATACAGAGGCAAAGTATAAATATGCAGTGACTGTGTAGAGGTAAGAAAATGAAATTCATGAGTTTTACACAAATATGTGGTAAGATTTTAATCGATCTTTTGGAATTAAACCGCATGGCTTTCGATCCAATCCAAATAAGACGAGACACGAGTATAAACTGTGGGATAGTCGGTGAGTGCACACGCCATCGACCAGGACACAATGCCAATAATCTTTCCATCAACAGTCAGTGGGCCACCAGAGTCACCCTACGAAGAAATAGTGTTATTAATTCGAATAATCAGGACCCACTTTGTTCGAAATAAAGAGAAATTCAAAGCGATATTACTCCGTGACATTGTAAAAATCACTGCTATTCGCAATTTTATCAGTGATTTATATGTCGTGGTATTTAAATTACGACTTACGTTGCACGATCCTTTTTCGACCTTGGGGTCATTAGCGCAGATTTGCGTGTCACGGACTGCGTAGCCTATGCTTTTGTAAACATTTTCGCACGCGGTTTGATTACTTATGTACAAGTCCGCCTTCAGCAGTTGTCGTGACTCCGGACCGCCCATCTTTAGAATTAAACGTGTATACCACAATAGTTGACGTTTTCGAAATTAAATATTGTTCGGTGCAAGGTGATTTAAAACTCACGTGAATGTCACCCCATCCTGACACTATAGCCTGTGTCATAGTCGGGACATCTTCGTTTGCTTCCGGCAGAGGAACGGGGGATATGTTTTTATTCAACACGAACGGCGTTTTCACCTAAAAAATTGAGCAATTTAATGTGCACGAAAAATCAATAGGATAAAAATTAAAATCGGATTAATTTTTTAATGCTGTACGAGTCGTAATTGGTAAAAAAAAAATCGTCGAAGTAAATATGAACCTCTAAAAATATAAATTTTATCGAGAATCGATTACGTTGAATTTGCAAATGAAATTTAAATGTATAAAACAGAAAGAATTTATCTTCCAAAATGTCACGATACGATAACGATATAATTTTTTTGTTCGAAACATTTGGAGTAGATATCGTCGTTGCGTTTTAAAAAAATTATTTCTATTTTCGAAATCGTTTACCTTGAGCAAGGCTATGTCGTTTATCCACGAATCCCTCGAGTTGTAGTTTTCGTGTAGAATAATCGTTTCGACTGGACGAACCGACGAAAGACGACTATCCAAGTTTACAATACCGGCAACGACTTGGATCGGATAAGCTAGACTGTTAACAGTATCGCAGGCCTTCTAATATTGTCTGTGCCACGATAATAATCGATGATTCCGCTGTATAGGAAATTACGAAACTTACTCGATTACGCAGTGAGCAGCCGTGAGGACGTATTGTGTGTTGAGCAACGATCCGCCGCAAAAGTGATACTGCGAGCCATTGGTTTGAATCGACACCTAAAATGTTTGTTAAATTTTCATTCACCGATACTTTTGTATTTTCTCCGAGAAGTTGATAATTTAATAAACATAACACAGTCACTGTTAACAGAGTAAATTAATTTTTTTGTATAGGTATAAAATTACCACTGTCAAACACTAGTGTTTACCTGGTATGGAATTTCACCCAATTTGACACTTTCACCGTCTATGATTCTTGGTATGAACGTGAATGTATTAGCGGCTGTAATTTATGAGAATAATAATGTAACTAGACATTGAACGTAACTCTTGGCAGACGTTGTTTAGATATACCAAATAACGCGTGACTTAAATTTTTTAAAGATAGCTCAGACATTTTTAGTTTTGAAAAATGAACGTATAACAAGATTTTGAAGTTCGAAATGATTTCTGTGTTAACTTTAATGAAGCTTCAGTTAGTGGTACAAATCTTGGACTGTATTTTGTTCACGTTCTTAAACTTTCAAGGAATACTGTTTTAAACGGTGTTACTGTTACATATTGTATTATACTTTACTGATTAAATTGGCTTTAGCTTGTAATTTTTACTAACGAAGCTGATATAGCTGATGTTGTTGTACGTACAAAGGGTAACTTTTTGCTTACTTACCATCGGAGACTGCCAGTAGAGCAAAAAGTGAGATTATTGCGAGAGCCATGTCTTCTCGATAAAAGGTAACTGGAAGACATGATCGGACTTGCAACTAATTTATACTTCATGTATCTGTCGATAGTGATCTAGAATACGTGATTATTACGAAGTAATTATTCTTATTTCTGTTAAAGTTAAGATACAAGTTTTTTGATACGTACAGTCGGGGACAAAAGTAAGTGGAAATTACCACCAATGGAAATCAATTAAAATAGTACTATTGTTGTATAAGTAAACTTTATTTATTACGTGTCTGTATGGTACATAAATTATTTGATAAAGAATTGAACGAAATACTTTCATTTTTAGAAAAATTAATATTTTGTATTACTACCTTTTATTGAGTTTTCAATATAATCTTTGGTTCTTTACGACGTAGTCTATGTATAATACCATACAGATGTGTAATAAATAAAGTTTACTCACGCGACGATAGTACTATTTTAATTAATTTTCATTAACAACTATTTCTTTTTGTCCCAGATTGTATTGCCACTTGATTTGTCTTATCAAAACGAATTTTGTATCGATAAGCTGTATCGTAATGAATTAAATTTTGTATTACTACGTGAATTAGTCGAACAAAATATACATTGTTCTTTGTTCCATTTTGATGTACATTCGATTCGATGTATAATTTTTGCTAGAAATTAGAAAGGAAAAGAACTAATTACAACATTATTAAATCATAGCTTTTATTTTACTGTTTTTTTTTTGTTATTAAAAGTGGTACTCTCGTGATCAAATAAAAAGATGTAACTTTTCTCACTTTAATAAGAACGATACGTTTTGTTGTATCAAAAACATTGTTTGAAACAGATATTTTCGTAGCAAACGTAAGAAATTCAATTCGTGCTATTTATAATAACATTTTCCATTAGAAATATCACGTTTGGCGTTCACAAGATTAATAGTACTCTTATTAGTTTTTATTTTCGAAACTATCGTGTAGATGCATTCGCAGAAACGTAGTCGAGACTTTCAAACGCGTTTCAGACAATTTAGTTCGTTTAAACTGCCTCGAATCAAACTGCATTCTGTTTAATCCAGCCCAAGTGAGACGTGACGCGAGTGTAAACTGTGGGATACTTGGTGAGTGCACACGCCATCGACCAGGACACAATGCCAACGATCTTTCCATCAACAGTCAGTGGGCCACCAGAGTCACCCTACGAAGTGAACATATTGTTAACAAAATCATCAGAAAAACGTAACGCTAACGATGCATGAAATTCCAATGGAAACTGTAGCTTACGTTGCACGCTCCTTTTTCAACCGAAGGATCATTAGCGCAGATGTGGGAGTCGTAAATGTTCATCATCAACGTCTTGTAAACCTTTCTGCATTTTGTCTGATCGGCTATCAAGATACGCGCCTTCATCAGTTGCTTTGTCGTTGCTCCGCCATACTATGTAATTCAATGTTAACGTTGCAGTAAAATCGCGAAACGTTTCGCGCCATTTATCAAATGTAATGCAAACTAAAAACTTACTTTGTCGGAACCCCATCCTGACACTACAGCCAGCGATTTGGCTGGGATAACTTCGTTTACTTTCGGCAGAGGAACCGGGGCTATTTGTCTGCTGGTCACGAATCTTGTTTTCACCTGCAAAATCGAGAATATCGTCGTACAAAGACCTCTCGAGTATTTCTGTTCTTCGAAAGATGGTGCAAGCTAAATGTTACGATCAGTCGTCTCGAATTTATTCGTCGACTTGTACCATTTCGAGAACAGAACGCTTACCTTGATCAAGGCTATATCGTTCACATATGAGTCTTCGGCAGAGTATTTTTCATGGGTAATGATCTTTTCAACCTGGTGCACCGATACTCGGTTATCGACGTCCACAGTGCCGACAACAACCTCCATCGTGTTAGGCGCTTGTCTGTTAAGGGGTAAATTTTTTAATATTATTCGCGTCGAGTCAACGATTAAGGATTCCACTTGTTGGAAAATTGCGAAACTTACCTTACGACACAGTGCGCTGCCGTGAGAACGTAATTCGCATTGAGCACCGACCCGCCGCAAAAGTGACGATTCGATGCTTTTAATTGAAGCGACGCCTAAAATGTAACAAAGGATATCGTTCTTTAAGCCATCGTTCGGAAATATTTTTAAGACGAAACGAGCAGTCAATAATAGGGCAATAATTCACCAAACGCAAGATAATTGATCTTCGCTGGGAATTTTAATTTTCATTTACCTGATACGGTATGTCGCCAGTTTTCACAGCTTCGCCATTGATGATTCTAGGGTCGAAGTTGTATGGTACTGCGGCTGAAATTATAATAATTAATTATTAATGTAATGAAAGCTTAAATATAAAATTTATTCGTTGTATTGATTTTCTGCTCCATCGTCTACTCAGTCGTTTAAACATATTATCGTTTCTGATCAAAAAGCCATTAGTCTTCTTAGCATTTAATTTTGACTGATTAAATCTTAGTAATTTATACTGTTTTATGTATTTAAATCTTATTATCACTTACCATTGGAGACCGCCAGTAGCGTGAAAAGTGGCAACAACATTAGAGCCATGTTCCTTGGGTTAGTTTGTGCAAGAGGTACTGTGAACATGTGACAATTTTTTAAGCATTTACTTAGACCTTATATGTATACTCGTTTGATGCTATCTTGAATCGGTAACTGCGATTAAAAAATCATTTTTTATCTTGATTTGGATTAGAAGCAGTATTTTATGGACATATTAGCGGCAAGATCATTTTATCAGGCCGAATTTTTGATAAATTGTATCAATGCGATTTCGACAATAACAATCGTTTGTTCCGGATCGACGAAATGTTACATAAATTATAGTCTTGAGAGCTTTTTTTCCAAACAAAGTTTCCATCAAAGCTTCTTTTGCAATTTATCTTGTAAGTGCTATATATTTCTTTGAATCATTTTTTCTCAGACTTTTGTAAAATTTTACAAAGCGTTACAAAGTCTTTTCGATTTATAGTTTAATCGTAGAACGTAGAGGCAGCTTCAGAAGTATCTGATTTGTGTTTATTATACACAATGTTTGACTGTGTTAACATTAAATAATTAATTATTTATTATCGTTTCCGTATCTGTTTGATCCATTTCGTGTACTTTTTTTTAATAAGCCATTCTAAAGATCTCACGTCATTTATTAATTAACCACGTATTTTACGATCGATATCCAATATCCATTTTCGTAGAATTCACGTGGAAGTTTGTAATACTTATTTTTCTTATTTATTTTATTTAAATACGTTTCTAAACTTACGGTTGATTACGTTTCGAATCTTTCTTTTTTTTTTTGTTATGTAATGTAGCGTTGGTAATTACTGGGAATTGATATTTATTTTATATTACGATTATAATTTATTTTAGTCCCCAACCTGAACTTAACTCATTCATAATGATCGTTTCTAATATAAATGAAAAAGAAAAATTAATGATTTGTAGGTTTGGCTAGATCGATGCCCAGTCGCTGTAGAATTGAAGTCATATCTCTTACTTCTCATAAAACCCATTCTTCGAAGCTATCTTTGAATATTTCCGTTATTTTTTTCATTTTTATTATATAATCCCATCAATACAATTGCTCTTTTCATACGCTTTTATTTAACTGTATCCGTTGTAAATACGAAATATTGCGATTGATTTTCAAGCACTTTTAATCCACTTGGACCTTCAATATATTGTACACACATCTGCATTTTTTATTTCAAATAAAGTTAACACTTTCTTTCAATAAGAGTGAAAAGAGCATTGTTTATGCGTCGCAGCGTCGACAATTATTTTAGCGACGATTAAACGACGCGGAGGAATCTTCAGCTAATTCTGAAGTCCTATCAAAAAATGTATGTGGACTGTAACTTTGATTTGTATACGCTCTGGTGAGCACGACTATTTATTGAGACTATGGGTGATATGTGTCTTCTTTGCGAATTTGGTTTAGTCTGCTCGAGAGTGTCCGGGGTCCGCGCAAGAAACCTCGAAGATTTTCCACGCGAGTGGATTGGTTGTGTGTATCCCCAATCAGGATCTTAGGCTACAATTTTGACTAATGTTAACGCCCTTTTGCCAACCCCGATAGAGCGGGGGTGAGGGCAATGGGACGCATGGGGGTGCTCTCGAAGGCCCAGCGATGCAGCCAAGGATGCCTCCAGGTTGACCGTGCCTGGCAACAACCGTTACGCACATGGTTTGGCCGACCCTTCGGCCGCTCCAGGTTTATGATTCGGTCGGTTATTAAACGAAACGAAATTCTAAAGGCTAAAATAAATGGAAAAACTCGAAGTGACTGAAATAAACTTTACTATCGCGAAAATGAGATTGCCGGTAATAGAAAAATAAACTCTAAAATATTCTTGGTCATTAAACGCGAAATAAACTAACACTCCCGTCCGTGTCATAAACGGACCTTCGAGAATCATCGCGAAAGGTGTTCCGCATCGGTCGGAACAAGCATTGCATTTTAAAACAGAAAATAAAATAGAACACGCTCAATTCTAATTTGGTATCAAATTCTAATTTAAAAAGAAAACAATATAGTTGTGTATGAGGATTTTCGTTAAATTCTCCATAACAAATTAATAAAAAGAGTTCGGTTGGAACCGTGATACTGAGCTGACGTGTTTGTCAACACCGAGCGTGCTGTGAACGCGAGTGCCAAGTACAGTGCCAATCAAATCTTATAGGTATTCATGATAGTCTGTGTTACTGTGAATTAGTGAATATTACTAAATTGTTATAAACCAACTTCTTAACCCATTTCTACGCCATTCTCGGTGCAACCTATTCACCGAAATGGCTTCTGACCACGGAAATTTGGTACCCCAAACTGTTAATAATGATTCTAACGCACCACGACGAAGCTACAATAAGGTAGTACAAAGTGATTGCTTCCCCAAAAAAGATCAAGCGATCATAATCGAAGCCAAAGATGGAATTCAACTAAGAGATTACGCTCATGCATTAGGCAGAATTACCAATCCAGCGAATATTAGATTTATGTCAAGAGTATCCAACGGTAGAATTTGTGTCTTTTTGGCGAGTAAGAAAATCGCGGACGACCTCACCGATAAATATAAACACATTAAAGTTAACGGTATCGATGTAACCGTAAGGCTGTTAATCAGCAAAGCTCAACGTATAATACTTTCAAACGTTTGCCCAACAATCCCTCACTCAATAATTGAAGGAATACTTGATGAAATTGGAGTAAAAAGAGAATCAGCTGTATCATTCCTAAGAGTTGGCATGGCAGAAGAGGGTTTTACGCACATCCTCAGTTTTCGTCGCCAATTATATGTCCATCCAGATGACACACACAAAATCCCAGACTCAATCAAAATTGAATATGAACAAACCACATACTGGATTTATCCTTCCACAGATACATTAAAATGCTTCATATGTAATAAAGAGGGTCACGTCGCAAAAAACTGCAAAACCGAAAAAAACCAACCCTTGCTATCTGAATCTCCACAAACAAGTGTCTTTATAAAACCTCAAGACCCCAAAATAGCGCCAATAGTATCAAATATTGATAGTACAAACATGGCAAAAGAATCAGAAAACCCTAGGGACAATACGGCAACAGAAACCATGGACATAGATCCATTGATCAGAACCTCAAAACGCACAAGATCCGAAATGACCGACGATTCAAGCCTCACCACAGAAGGAACCAACGATTCAAACCATGCCACAGAAAAATCAATCAGTCTTCAACAAATCCTGGAAACTGAATCGAAATGCAAGCAGCCAAAGAAAAAACCAAATGTTGCAACAAAGAGCGATAAAAGCATAGATGACATGTTGCAACCAGTTAAACACGTACTAGAAGAACCTGGTAAAATGTTAAACTTCTACCAACTTAAAAGCTTTATTGAAAACACACTTGGATCTCCCAACACTAGAGAGATTGCAACAGAATACACAGACGACGTAGAAGCTCTAGCGAATTTTATGAAAGAGATATACCCTTACCTCACAGACCGTTGCATCAAAAACAGATTCACAAGAATCACGAGAAAGCTAGTTAAATCTACCAAGGCTGATCACTCAATGAGCTCTCCTACTCCTTCGGATTGCTCAGATACTCCTCAGTGCTCCGAAGACGAACACACCAATTAAATATCAAACAAAAAATACCGTTCAATAAGTATAAATGCTAAGGAAGATTATACAATGGAATCTTAATAGTTTCAAAGCACGTTTTGAATTCTTACAAAAATTGCTCCAGGATCATCGGCCATGTGTATTATGCCTGCAGGAAACCAATTTCAAAGCAAATGAAACTATCAGTATTAAAGGTTTTAAAGTAGTCCAAAAAAATAGAAGGAATGCCTTGATCGCGAGCGGCGGAGTAGCAATCTACATGAAACAAAGCCTAAATTACACAGAAATACCGCTAAACACTAATATTGAAGCAATTGCGGTCTCAATCATTCTATATCAAAAAGAAATATGTATATGCAACGTCTATATTCCAAATAACCACCAATTTCAAGAAGCCGAATTAATCAACATTATAAAGCAACTCCCCAAACCTTTCTTATTAATGGGAGATTTCAACAGCCATAATACAATGTGGGGATCTGCAAACACAGACACTAGAGGAAAACTAATTGGAAATATAATACTCAAATCAGATATCATCTTGTTGAATAATTCCGAACCCACTCATTTCAACATGTCAAATGGCTCTTACAGCTCAATAGACCTAACCTTTTGCAGCCCCAACATTTTCAACAGCACTAAATACGAAATTTCAACCGAGTTATATAACAGCGACCACTTTCCCATTATCATTGAACTAATAGACAATAATGCTGATAACCATATAATACAACCTAGATGGAAATTCAAAAAAGCCGACTAGCCGCTATACCGCCACGAAATAAATCAAAACCTTCCATCATTACAAACGCCTGATGCCTCAAACTGTTCGGAAATAAACCAAATATTAAAAGAGTTTGAAGAATTAATCATCCATGCTGCCACAAAATCCATACCTAAAACATCAAATAATACAGAGAAAAAAAATATCCCTTGGTGGAATGATGAATGCTGCAATGTAATTAAAGAAAAAAAACATGCCTTCAATGTATACAAAAAACACAAAACCGATTTCAATTTAATAGAGTTCAAGCGGGCAAGGGCCAAAGCAAGAAAAGTCCTTAAACAAGCAAAAAAGAATTCGTGGATAAATTACATCGCATCCTTAACAAAGACCACTCCATGTGAACAAATATGGAATAAACTGAAGAAAATTAATGGCCAGAAAGTAAGTTCCCAAATTACTGCAATCAAGAGTTCTGAAAACTCAATTACCATAGACGCTAAAGAAATTGCCAACCTTCTAGCTACTACTTTTGCAAATAATTCGAGTAATAAAAATTTCGACCCAAACTTTCTCAAAATTAAAGCTAGAGTTGAAGAGAATTCAAGACACGAGCATATCATCTCTCAGACGAGCAACCACCCCCTTAACATGAAAATTCTGCCTACAGAATTAAAATCGGCGCTAAAATCTGTTAAAAATTCCAGTCCAGGACCCGACAACATTCCAAATATTTTTATACAACAACTACCAAAAGCAGGAATAAATTATTTATTAGATATCTACAACTGCATATGGCTGAATGGTGTCTTCCCTACCAAGTGGCAAGAAGCAATAGTAGTGCCCATTCTAAAACCTGGAAAAAACAAGCTTCGAATCGACAGCTACAGACCTATCGCCCTGACATGTTGCCTATGCAAACTGCTAGAGAAAGTAATCTGCAAAAGACTGCGATGGTATTTGGAGACCAATAACCTACTAGGAAAAAATCAAAATGGGTTTAGACAGTATCGTTCGACGATGGACAACCTTGCAATGTTAGATATAAACATTTGCGAAGCCTTCCTTAGAAAACAACATCTAATAGCAATATGCTTAGACATTGAGAAGGCTTACGACATGCTTTGGAGACACCGAATAATACAACAACTTATAAAGTGGAACATAAGTGGAAGCATGATACAATTTATATACAATTTCCTAAAAAGCAGATCTATATATGTCCGTGTCAACGGCAATTTATCCAAGAAAGTTGAAATCTTAAATGGGGTACCGCAGAGATCTGTACTAAGCGTAATTTTATTCTTGATTGCAATAAACGATATCGCTGAAGTCTTCTCTAAACCAGTTAAATACACCATATTCGCTGACGACTGTACCTTCTTTATAACCGGGAAAAGTCTAAGCACCAGTCAGCAAATCCTTCAAGACAATTTAGATAGACTCCAAAAATACGCCCTACAAACTGGATTTAAATTCTCAAAAAACAAAACCACCGTTACAGTTTTTTCAAAACAAAGAACAACACAAAACCACCAACTACAGCTACACTTAGGCCAGCACCAACTCTTGATAACAAGCACTCCAAAAATCCTCGGTCTAATTTTTGATAACAAATACACTTGGACGCCATTCCTTAAAAAGCTCAAAGAAGAATGTGTCAAGAGATTAAATATATTGAAGGTCATCGCTTCGAAAAACTGGGGGGCTGAATTCCAAATTCTAAGTAATACATATAAGGCCTTAGTTCTGTCTAAACTAGATTATGGATCAATCGTCTACGATTCTGCAAAACCACGCGTTCTAAAATTATTAGCACCTATACATAATGCCGGAGCTAGAATAGTCACTGGAGCTTTCCGAACGAGTCCGGTAAATGCAATTCTATGTGAAGCTGGTCTAATACCACTGGAAACTCGAAGAAAACAACTGAGCTTATCGTATGCAGCAACCAGATTATCAACGCCTTCAAATCCTATCTACGAGAAATTAACTAACATCGCCCATTTCAATGAATTTAAGGAAAAACCCAAACTTCCGGAACCGTTAAATAGTAGAGTCAAAACATACTGGCAAGAACTAAATATGGATACACCAAAAATCATATCAAGAATACAGTATCAAATTCCACCATGGACGATAGATCCTCCTTGCATACTCGATAAAATTCTGAAAGCAGGCAAACAAATTAACCCAAACGTTCTCAAAAGTTTATATACTGAATTATCGAATGAATACCCGTACCATACGCAAATTTTCACTGATGCTTCAAAATCAGGACAGGGGACTGGATGTGCGGTATGCACTCCCGAACATGAGATCCTATTCAGGCTCCCGGAAACATTCACAATATTCACTAGTGAAGCGTTAGCTGTTCTACAAGCCTTGAAGTACATAGAAGAAACAACACACAATAAATCCATCATTCTAACTGATTCTAAAAGCGTCCTACTCGCCCTACAAAATTTGGAAACAAACAACACTGTAATCCAAAACATTATTGAATTAAATGAAACACTTAAGCGAGACAAAAGAGAAGTGTTATATTCCTGGATTCCCTCCCATATTGGTATTGAAGGTAATGAAAAGGCTGATACAGCAGCAAAACTGGCTAGCTCCAGTACAGCTATAACGAAATGTGAACAGGCAACTCATCAAGACATCCAAAAGCATTGCACCAAGGCGCAAACGGAAGTGTGGAATGAAGAATGGAGAAATAGCAGACCAACTAAGCTACATAAAGTTCGAAATAATATACATGACTTCAATCCGGCGCTACTACTAAATAGAAAAGACCAAGTGAAAATAACCCGACTAAGAATAGGACACTCGAACTGGACACACTCATACCTTATCACAAAAACCGAACCAAATTCCTGCGACACCTGTAACGTACGAAATAGTATTGAACACATCTTGACAATCTGCCCTAAATACAATATGAAGATTATCCAACACAAGTTACAAAACTCACTAACGATCTTACGAGAAACAGATTCCTGCAGAAAAGTTTTAAACTTCTTAAAAGACATCAATGTATACCAATTGCTCTAAATATGATTAGCCCCACTAAGTAACCCAACTGTGGTCACTAATAACCTAAAAGGTGCATGTGACCTAAAACGCTCAATAAAATTAATAAAATTTCATAACAAATAATCAGTACGAAGCTCTTTATTTGATTTTACTTGTTTGACTTTCCAGTAATTTCACGCAGTCAATTACTAAGATATTTTGGTATTTTCTAATTAAATTACTTTGCTTCGAACAGAATGATATTTATTCTACTTATTTTAACTAATTGAACGTGGCTATAAGATGGTGCAAAATGATATAATAACGAGCGAACGTTAAGATGCAGAGTTATCATATGTAACGCTAGATTTACGGGTATTGATCGCACGTATATTCATTGATACCTTTCATGTTGACAATTACCTTAAAATACGATTTTTTTAAAAATTAGAATATGTATTCTTGCCATTGCATCGATCAAATTCAACATAAGTTGTTAAAAAATAGTATTTACGCGTTCTGCAGTTTCCGTGAATCTAGCGTTAATGGACATTCTTTGTAATAAATTAGTTGGCTTTTGTTCAAGTCGTGGTTTTATTGCATTTGTGGTAACATTTCACGGTATAATCGTCACTCTCAATATAGAAAAGATTGGTACATTTCGTTTGAGTTTTAATGCTCGTTAAGTTTTGTATTCCTATTACTTTTTATTTGGATCTCGCGGTTTCCGTTTGTTCGATTTAGACTGCGTGCGTCTTTATCCAATTAAGGTGAGACGAGACGCGTGTGTAGACGGTCGGGTAGTCCGTAAGGGCGCAACCCATGGCCCAGGAAACGAGACCAACGAGTTTTCCTTTCACTGTCAGAGGACCGCCAGAGTCACCCTGTAAACACAGAAAGATCCATTCGTAAACATCGACTCAATTATATTTCGTACACAACGGAACTTCATCTTTACGAGTCGCATTAAAAATTAAAAAAAAGTTTCCAACGACTATGTTTCGTCGAACCAAAGAAACATTAACGAGACGATTATTCACGACAATGTACGAGTTTCATAATTTTTACGCGTCGAAACTTACGTTGCACGATCCCTTTTGAGCGGTTGGGTCATAGGCGCAAATCTGCGTGTCGTAGACGTTGAGGGACTCATTTCCATAGATGAGTTTGCAGTACGCTTGGTTCGCGATCAAAATATTCACGCGTTGCAGTTCAACAGTCGTGGGGCCGCCTTGCTGTAACCGAACGAAACACGCGCAATTGATAGAGAAATCACCTCTGTACGGGCGTTTAATTTTGACTTGGTTTTTTTTTTTTTAATTATTACGTTGTAACCCCCTACGGGATTATTAGCACAAGTTTACATAGAAAAAAAAAAAAATTACAAAATTAAGTACATGAGACAGTGAACTTAGTTGCTACTTATACAATACGTAGAATGAAATTACAAATGAAGATCATGTTTCTTAAGGAATTTAAATATAACCATCACAGGAGGTATAAGTGGTTGAAAAAGGAAAGCATCAATCGTATACGGAGGGAAATAGCCTTTAGAGCACAGCTGGTTAATCATGTCCGGTCTGTCAGAATCGTATAAAGGACATTGCCATATGATATGATTAAATGATATGATTCGGAAAAGTGAGACAGCTAGTTGAAAGTGGTTAGAACGTAATCGGTTGGTAAAACAAATAAAATCCCTAGGAAGGGCTTTTCGAGTAAGCCAAGGAGTTGTAGAATCACTATAAAAGTGTGCAAAATACTGTACGGGCGTTGTGGAATCAAGCATCGGAATTATTTTACTTACCCAAAGTCTGCCCCATCCAGAGACTGTGGCTACTGTGTTGGCAGTGATATTTTGGTTCGGAGTTGGCAGTGGGACGTTGGCAATTTGCTTCGATGTCACGAACGGTTTGTCAACCTGTAACGAGAACAATCGGGAAATGAGAAATGATCTCGCAGTGTTAATCCTTTTGAACCGTAGTGAATTAAAATTTGGACGTCTCTATGTTTGTAATAATTTACTTATTTTTAATTACTTCAATTACCTTAAGCAGCGCTATATCGTTCTTCCAAGAATCGCTTGCGTTATATTTTTCATGAACAATGATTTTCTGTACGTTGCGCTGAATTACAGGGTTCGTCAAATTTACCGTGCCGGCGACAACTTTGATCAGTCCAGCCGAGTTGCTGTAAAAAACATCAATCATTTTATAGAGGTACAGTATCTCGCGAGAATACAGGATTTAAATATGAATTTTTTTTTTATTCACTCTCTGACGCAATGAGCCGCGGTGATGACATAATTTTTGTTGAGGATCGATCCGCCGCAGAAGTGAAACGAGCTGCCCTTGTTTTGAAGGGACACCTGAGAAAAGGGAAACGCATTTTAGCAATATCATCGTATCATGTCAGGGAAAGAGTTGTATACAGTTCGAGTCGATTACTTTCTTCGATAAGATTTGCATTTCGATAGATTAATTTATCGTTGATAGAGCTCACCTGATACGGGATCTCTCCTGGCTTCGCAGCCTCGCCGTTTACGATCCTTGGATCGTACTGCGGCAGCAGGCCAGCTGTGTAAATAATAACGGTACACAGTAATTAGTATTTAGTAATTGTGGACGCACGGTTGCTCATTATGCAGCCGACGATGCTTGCTCTACTTATTAGCCGCGTTTAATGGCGCAAATTGTTCGCGCAACAACGTTGCGATTTTGTAAAAATATTCGACGGGGACCAACGAACGTTCAGCAATAACAGAAACTAATCGCTGATCTTCGATTCGCTTAGAATCGATAGAATTCTCGACGATATATTTTCGAAACGAGCGTCCAGTATTTTTGACTTGAATTCGATAAGACTACTTAGTGGGGATTAAATGCTTGATTTATTGATCGTTATTATCAGGATTTAAAAATGAACGATTTGTGGAATAAACGATGGAAAATCAAGGTTGCTTACCATTAGAGAGCGATAAGAGGCCGAAAATGGCTAACGTTGCCAGGAGCATGTTTAATGCGTGTATAGATACTGTAGACTGTATTGAAACCTTATCGTCGTCCATATATACGATCGGGACTGTCTTTCAAAAGTGCAAACTCTTCCATTTCCTCATTATTGTAGATTAGATAGTTCTGTAATCTCTGCTGTGTCAACGAACCGTTTCACGATTGATCCAGATTGCTGTGATTAATTACTTTTTTTTTTCGATAACATCTTTGACGTTCGTCGATCTATACGTTTCCTTGTTTCTGTCCGGTTGGGTTTACACAATACGCGACCGATCGAACGTTATTTGTACACTTGATTTATTTGTATTATTTAATGGTCACTCGGTTTGTGACGTATCGTTTTGGATTTCCCGTTTCGTAAGATCTTTATCTCTTTCGATAGATAGTAGTTGTATAAGTATTGTTACGATAAGGGAACATTTAAAGAATCGATTGGGACTGCAGCAAAAATGATTTATCTCAGCCTTTATTAATTGATAGCTTCGAAGTCTGAATACCGGAGACGCGAGCATTTTGTAATTAATTACCTGAATATTTTTCGTTAAAAATATTATTTAGTTCCATTTTGTTTAGTTTCTAAATTCTATGGAAAATTTGTGTTCGTAGCTGATATAATAAATTATTTTTATCATTTTTATGAAATGATTCTCAGACATTTTCTTACTCATTGCGCTTTCATGCAGACAGAATAAATATTGCGTAGAATCTTGAAGCGAATCGATGAAATAGTTCTGGGAAGAGATTTCTCTGAGTTAATATTTATAAATGGAATTTTAAAAGATTTTGTACGTGCAAAAGTATGAAGCAGAATGTCGTTTGTTTCAGTGCAATAGAAAATGAATATCGTCAAATTTGGTTCCCAGATATCGGTTTCAAATCAACGATAATTTGCAACGTGACTCTCGAAGTACGTTATCGCTTATTGAAATGATTGTAATTTTCGCTATTTCTTTCGATCTTTGAGTAATGATTTCTTAGAACAAATGCCTTATCGTCACTGATATAATTATGAATTACTACAGAAAGTAAGTGTAACAACATCGTGCAATTGGCTACGAGTGATAAAGCGGAAAGAATGGGAAAAATTTATAGTCAATGCAACAAAGACAGTCAGAAATAAATATGCTTTATTGATGGTTCCTTGACTGGTAAACAATTAAATTCTACAGTGATTGCTTGAATGTCCCAAGTGTTTATAAAACTTTATAAACAGGACTTTGTAGAACATTCACTTTAATTATCAAGGAGCACTACAGTAAGTTATTTTGATTGATTATTTGCAATATCACTAGTCATGCTTGATGACGAGCACATTTTTAAACGAACAGAAATTGATATCTGTTACAGTATATAAATTAAGATATTGTCTATCTGGACAATTACGATACATTAATAGATAACGCGAATAATTGGTATTATCGATACGTATTGCTTATTCACACTCATTCTACTCTCTACTCTCTGTCGTTCAATAAGAAAAGAGACAAATGACTGCTGAAATATTGTTTATTAAATAAATAAATTATTTTACTTTTCAATATAATCCGCAGTATAAACTTCTTTCTATTTACCCTATTTACCTTTCTGATTTATGTACCATATTGTTTAAGCAATCTCGCGTTAAAATAAGGAATCTTACAACGGGACGATACTCTTTCGTATTGCACTTTTCAAGAAAAATATAAGAATTCTCATTTTAACATTATCGAACGGTCCTCGTATTAAAATAAGGTTTTGTCATCCAGTATCTGCGCTCGAATCGAGTCTAGTCATAGAATTTTTAATCAACGCTACGTCTTGCTAGACGTCGACAGTCGGTATCGAGTCCCACGAATTAATCCTTTCCATTTCGCGTTATTATATGCCTCTGATTTCGTATGTGATTCCGATTGATAACGCGTAATTATTCTCCCTCGTTGTTTCTTCCGAAACGCTGCCCAAGGCTGCCAGGCGCGTTATAACTGAATCAATTCGCGGGTGATTCGTTAAAATTTATAATCGCAACGGCGCGCGGAATTAATCATTCTCCTGGATCCAACGTCTCCTGTTTCGTTTTTATTCTGACCTCTGAATATCGCGAAGTATCCGGGCTCTTAAAATATCGATTTCTAGAAAAGCGCAGACCGAATGAACGATTCAAAGGTTGTCCGCGGGAAACGAGGACTCTCGAGCGGAGTGTTCGTGTGAATTATTCGAGGGCGCAGTTTTCTTCCCTTGGCGGAAGTCATGGACTTTCATGGAAACCGGAACCGAGAAGTGTCGTTTCGAGCAGACGCGATTTCTTAAGGGGTTTACTTGTGAATTCCACGGTCGCGTTATCGCGTTATGCGCCCGACTAAGATAGACGGTGTGTATCGCACAAAACCCCGCGGGTTATTCGGGTCAATTTGATCCAATCAGTTCTGCTTGCTTTTTGAGAACGTGGCCACGCGTCTACATTATTCAGTCGATTGCATTGTTTATTTTATTTCTCGAGCCACTTTCCATGGCGTTCTACTTGTGGGTGGATGTTTAGAACGTATTTATTATAATTGTATAACGTTGGTAAAAACTATTTTACAAGAAATCGATACAATAACAATGGTTTGCCTCACACGTCTTCTCACTCTCAATGCTCGCTTACAAATGACCAGTTTCACACACGTCGCTCTTTCGTTCACTCTTCAATCATGAAGTATACAAACTATTTAAGACCATTCACTCGTGTCACACTCATCTCTCATACAAAATATCATTCACTTCATATCTATGACAACCAGTACCTACTTATAATCTAAGCATGAAACTATCAATTAACACATCTTACGCGGGAAGCGACTAAAGTCGTTTTTCACGGATTATTGATGGATTATTGTTATCGATGTTTTTTTGTGATGTTTTTACGATAAAATCGGATAGACATGCGTTGGAAAAATGCAAAACGTGCGTTGCAAGAGTGAATTCCTATGAATTCGTTTTGCTGACGCGATTACGTTGCAATACGCGCAATAATGTCGTGTGTGCTCCGTTTAATGCAGTGTAATGCGGTATAAGTGTAAATTTTGTAACGTACCCTTGCACAAAGAAAAGTGCTTTGAACGATATCACACTTTGAAACATTTTTAAATTTTTGATTTTCTTAGTTTTTCATTTCTGACAAGTTATTTTTATTTTTTTTAAAGGGAATAAAAAAATTGATTCTTAAAGAGAAACTAAAAGTTTTATTAAAAAAACCTGATGTTTAAAAACTACAGCTATTTTATGCAGAAGGAATTTTGCATCTGAACTGTAAAAAATCACGGTAAGACGTGTTAATAACAAAACCTAGTACAATTACACGAAACGTTCGTTTGGAAAATTTACGGGGTCTCGAAAGGAAATACAATTATCCTTTATTTTTTAATTCGATTATTAAGAGATGATTCTCTGACCAAGTCTTTTAGTTACAAAACTAACAGTCTTGAAAAATTGTGACAAATATAGTCGTAAAAATTATTCGAAAAATACGCTGGATGAAATTACCGTAGTTTCCGACTGTGTTTTATTTAAAATACCCAAAACGAAAACACGATGTTCATTCAAAAAATTACAATCGAAGTATTTTTAAAAGAAATACAATTATCCTGTTTATTGTTCAATTCGATTATTAAGGGATGATTCTCTGATCAAGTCTTTTAGTTACAAAACTAACAGTCTTGAAAAATTGTGACAAATATAGTCGTAAAAATTATGCGAGAATTACGCTGGACAAGATTACTGTAGCTTTCGACTGTGTTTTATTTAATATACCCAAAACGAAAACACGATGTTCATTCAAAAAATTACAATCGAAGTATTTTTAAAAGAAATACAATTATCCTGTTTATTGTTCAATTCGATTATCAAGGGATGATTCTCTGAACAAGTCTTTTAGTTACAAAACTAACAGTCTTGAAAAATTGTGACAAATATAGTCGTAAAAATTATTCGAAAATTACGCTGGACAAGATTACTGTAGCTTCCGACTGTGTTTTATTTAATATACCCAAAACGAAAACACGATTTTCGTTCGAAAAATTACAGTTGGAATATTTTTAAAAGAAATACAATTATCCTGTTTATTGTTCAATTCGATTATCAAGGGATGATTCTCTGACCAAGTCTTTTAGTTACAAAACTAACAGTCTTGAAAAATTGTGACAAATATAGTCGTAAAAATTATTCGAAAATTACGCTGGACAAGATTACTGTAGCTTCCGACTGTGTTTTATTTAATATACCCAAAACGAAAACACGATTTTCGTTCGAAAAATTACAGTTGGAATATTTTTAAAAGAAATACAATTATCCTGTTTATTGTTCAATTCGATTATCAAGGGATGATTCTCTGACCAAGTCTTTTAGTTACAAAACTAACAGTCTTGAAAAATTGTGACAAATGTAGTCGTAAAAATTATTCGAAAAATACGCTTTGACGAAATTACCGTAGTTTCCAACCATGTGTTATTTGATTTACCGAAAGGGAAACGCGTTGTTATTGTTATAAAGGAGGGTTGTCGTTATTTGTGTCAAGCCGTGCGGATCGATGATTACCGATGATCGGTGAAACAGCTCGTTGATCTTTTCCCGTTCGCCGGGTGGCACCGGAAACGGGAGCAACACGTGAGGCTCTCGAGAGGATGGCGTATTGATCCTTGCTGCACCACCTGACCTCCTATCCTTTTTCCACCGGAGGCATTATCCTTCCTAAATCTAGCGTCAGAGGGGTCATAATTGCATTTAGATTGATCGTATTAAGTGCCCGTTTACTTTCAAGTTTAATGCAAGGATCGGATGAAGGTGGACGGGCGGCGCATTTCGGAGGAGCGTTCGTCGGGTTACCTGCGAGCTGGAAATAACGATCGGGCCAAGGTAGAAAAATTTAGTGTCGCGCTAGGGCGGGAATAACATCGAAATTCACCGGGAAAGCCTTTTATCGGAAGTTCGAACAGATACGTATGTATATACGGACTACGCGAAGATATCGAAAGTAATCCTCTTGCGTTATTAAGGATCGTAGACCGCGATTTACGAGAGTTTGACGTGGATATACGTCTTAAGTTCTTTATGGATCAATAATTCACGTCGGGTACAGGATTTGCTGTGTCCTTTCGCCCGAGTGTTACTAACGTGACCATTGCGTCATAATAATTGAACAACAGATTTTTTTTTTTGTCGTCTAACGTTACTTGTTAAAAAATAATTGGAATTCTATTTTTACTTCGATGTAATTACGATGACGTAATTTCAATTTAACTCGAACGATTATCGAGATTAGAAGCTCGATCGACTGATTTTAATTGGGACTGTGGTCGGTCGAGTTTGATCGGGATTCGTAATTGGGATTTGGAAAGAAACGATTTAATCATATGTATTCGTGCAGTTAGTTTTCGCGTTGAGCTCCTTTAAAATGCGTGTATTTACTTTATAGTTAGACATGCACGATTCTTGTAGCACCCTTCTTAGGGCTATATCATCTGGATTCTTTTGAGCTGCAAAAATTACGTCTAATTCATCCATGTCTAGAACATTATTACGTTTTCATGAACGAGTCACGCTTTTAATAACGTGTAAAACTTTGCGACTATTGGGATTATAGTTACCTATTATGAATTTTATTGAACCGCGAGTCAATAATACTGCTTTATCGAATTGAATGGAAAAGAATATTATTCTATTCTGCTTCGGGTCTTATAACTGGTAGAATAAAGTTCTTGGACGATCGAGAAACCGTAAAATTAAATCTAGGTTAACCCGCTTCGGTTTGAGGTTTATTAATATTGAAGCACTAAAAGCAGTGTATTTCTGGAAATTCTCTCCGATTAGTGGAATTGCTCGAAACTCCAGATTCATTATTCAATATTTAATTACAATATTGTTGAGACTTCCAAACATAATCTCACGAGCTCTGTTCACTTAAATGTCTCGATATTTAATACTGATTATTTAGAGAAACGTAAAATAAACGCGTGTATATTAATTATGTAGAATTGCACAACGTCAACTTTGTTCCAACAACAACGTTTGTAACACGTTTCCTTTTTCGCCAGAGAAGCTCGTTCAAATAACGGTTTAAATAACGTTTACGCTCCACATTTTGACGCAACTTCTGCAAATGAAATATACTTCCAACGAGCTCGCGGTTCACTTGTTTGATTCGCGTAAATAGGTTCTTGCGTTTGTAGAGCTTGGCGCTATCACACTTTGGCTTTTTGGTCCCGTTCGCGATACTTCGAGGAAGGTTTCGCGTCGTTGCGTCCAGCGCTGTTTGCTCGAGCCAACGGTTTACAGGATTGTTCGAAAAATGCAGACTGTAGGAAGGTTCGCGGATAACGGGGCGATTCCTCGCGTAAAAGTGAGTGAAAAATGTGCAATGAGATTTTTTTATACGTGACTTCGTATTCGAGAAAATCGATCTAGAAAATTCGTGGCGCACGCGTGCGATTGTGTCTGACCAGTCCTCGTTATTTACTATTTACTACTTAGGTTGATGCTTATGAGAGTTCGTGGTCACGTTATACTATCCGTTTTCCGTCCACGTTACTAGCTTTTCACCAGTTTGTTGGTAATTGTTTTTCCCGATAATAGAAAACGTTGCAGAACGTGTTTCACTTCACGTTTTCGTTTTCTATTTACATTGTAGAGTTTGAGCATTAGATAAATTGGGTTCGTCAATCTTGTAGAATAAAGACTTGCTTTAGGCGCGAGAATTAAATTGAAATACCAAACGACGGTCTCCGATGAACTTTTAACGGCGATTTTATTTTTTACACGAGTCGTTTGCAATCTTTAAAATTACACCGCGTTGTCGGTATCCTCATAGATCGTTCATTTTTTCTTTTATTATACTTCGCGCTCGGTCAATATCGGATCCGTGCCCGTTCGATAGAAAGTTCTATCTTCTGTGTCTGTTCCGTGCCGGTGCGATGTGCAAACCGATGAAACGAATCTGAAGTGGCAATGACATTACTGATTCAATCTACCTGGACAGAGAATGATAAATACATACCGACCGTGGAGTATCCGGGCTTTGTCAAAAGAGCTGTCGCGTATATATATTCGAGAGCGGTTAACCGATTTTGCAAAGCGTTGCGGATATCTGTATAACGATGGATCTGAACCAGTTCGGGCAAACACAAGGGCAGAATCAAAGGGACGACTGATGACTGTGCGCTCGATTCGCGGGGCGCGGTGTTTGGCGCAGGATGGGCCCATAAAATACGATATCACGGAAATTGAAAAGAGTTAATGCGACGTGTTATTTTCATTTAGCGCGGCGAGCGTGTTTGCGAACGATAATTTCCAGTCGTCGTTGAGTGAAAAGCTCGCGTGAACGAGCACTCGATAACAACGTATACGAAGACGTCTCTATATGTTCACTTCAGCGTTACTTTAATTAAAGATAATAATTATTTATACGTGACATTCACGGTGTACGTTATTAATGTACATACCAAGCGCAATGGTATTCAGTAGTAATTTTTTAAAATTCTTTTTCAAACTTAAACTTCTTCGAGAACATATCTGTTCTTGTGGTACATTCCGGGCAATAGTTTTATCGTTCAAATTATACAATATTATATGCTACAAACTTTTATTTATATTTTCTTATCAGAACTTATAATGTGAGAGCTTTATTACAAAATGAACCACGTCACTGACCCAAAGAAGTAAACTACGCGATATAGATTTCTTCGACAAAGATATAAATACACTCCACGTTTGATTAATAAATAATACTTTAAGTAAATTCGTCGAACGACCGCTTTGCCGAACTAGTAATCCACAGGCTGAATATTTTGCCAGGTCACGTTGGACATTATTCTATTTTTTTACGCAACCAGTCAAAAGCATGGAACAGCGTGACATCCATTAAGCGCGACCCAACACGCACCAGAATCCATTATAATAGAGATTTGGAATAAACATAGCGCGCGAAAGTTTCATGGAAACACAAGCGTGGCACGGCGACATTTTGAATTGTCACTTTAAAGTGAAATGTACTAATGGCCGCTGCACATTGGTACAGCAATTCGTCAGAAAATATTTATCCGTTCCCAAACGCGTAACAATGATATATCTATTTACACACGGTAACAAAGCGCGATGCATTATTTTTGTGTTTATACATTTAGCTTGAAATCGTTAAACAAATAAAATAATGCGTATCATGCATATTAAACTTTATTCGAATAATAAATATCCAAGAAAATCAATGTACGGTAATTTATTCATGACGTTTATTTTATCGAACGGTTGGATTTTTATTTTTCATTTTATGAAAAATCCACGATGCCCTTCTTCAG